TTCACCTGTGAACCCCCAGCAGCTGCCCAACCTCTTCAGGAGCTGGGGTGGAGTGTGGGCAGCAGGCCTGAGGGCATGGTGTCTACCAGCTGCTACTGGTAACCGGGAGAATCACTCTGACCATTTTTGTTTGCAGATGCCCAGGACACGATGGCACAGACAGAAAAAGGCTCACGCCAGGCTCTGTGAAAGGGAGGCTTCAACCAGACAGAAATTCAACAGCACCAGCAAGAGCACCCAGCACTGTGGTGCTGGCCCCATTGAGACACGTCACCCTTCCACGACCAGCAGCAACTGTCAGACAAGCTGCAGGTGCCTCCTCTCTCCAAGGAGCTGAAGTGAGCTGTGTCCCAAGCTGCCCCCTGGCACAAGCTCTTCCTGTGCTGCTGGTGGAAGCTGAGAACAGACCACAAGCTCGGTATGAGCCCAGCTGCTACTCCAGCCATTGATTTTTTAAACAATCCAGATATTAGGCCAAGGAGACTGTAGAAGTGAGCCCAAGTCCCTGAGCCTGAGCTGTAGCACTTGTTTTGTGGACTTTTTTTATGTGGGCAAAATCAGCCCGTTTCACAGCAAAGCCTTGGGGAACACCTAGACATCAGGCTGCAGACATCCACCTAGGAAAGGGCCGCGTGAGGTTACAATGCTATTGGTCTTCCTTCTGCTCTCACTTGTCACTGCCCCTCTCCTGACGGCTGCAGGCCACGTGCCTGTCCCCCCTGCCAGCAAGGCTGAGGTGACCCAGTGACTTGGCCAGCACAGGCGATTTTGAACTGCTGGTGTGACCAAGCAGCCCTTGCCAGCTCTGCCTGAGCGAAACCGTCTTTTCCCAGTGCTCCCAGGCCAGCGAACAACCCCAGAGCATCAGCAGCACTGGCCAGACCAGGGTGGTAACTCAGCACCGCGTGGCTGAAGCAGCGCAGCCGCCACTCACGCTGCAGCCCCACTGCAGCGCGCAACCAGCGCGAGGCTGCAGCGCCGACACAGACTGCTCCCAGCTGCTCCCCCAGAGCAGGGATGAAGGGAAGACCAGAGAATCCTCCAGTCTGTACATACAAGTGCCCCAGGTGGGTCAGCCCGACGGCCCGTGCACCCACATCGTCAAAAGGAGAGGCTGCGCAGGGGAAGCACGCGCGTGGCCACCTCCTGCGCTCCACCTGCAGCAACCGCAGCCCGTGGGACAGCAGCAGTACAGCCCTCTCTTACCCTCTGACCGCCCGTTTGTGGAGCTATTGCCCATACACTTCTCTAACCCCTTTTTGACCCTGAAAGGCTCCAGAAGTATTGTCCTTTATATGTTTTAACCCATTCTATTCCAAGTTTTACCAAGTGTCCCTTAGTAGCTGCCTGAGAGTTAAGAACAACAGAACCAACACACAGCTTGGTTTCCGTGTGCTTATGTCATGCTGATTCCCAAACGTTACTCACGAACACTGACACCCAGGCTGAACTGTGCAGCCCCAGGGGGGCATGATCACGCTTCACAAATTTATGAAAAGGACAAGAGACAAGCATGGAGACTGTATTTATTATTGCAACAGAGAAGAGGCTGCTGTACTGATTCATATTTACAAATCTGTTGGCAAAGAAAATATCCAGTGTCATTTATTAGCTATTTTACAGCCCTGGCAAGAAGCGTTCATTTGCAATAGCAGCAAATGCCTACGGTGTGACTGCCTGCTACAGCTAAGTGCAAGGAGTAACATGGATCGCTTACGTGGTGGCTGGCTGCAGGCGAAGACCGACACAGGCACACGCCTCTGCAGCTGAAGAGGGGGTGCAGGTGCTACACGGCTGCTCCAGCCCACGGCAGGGGCAGGACAGGGCACCCCAAGCCTGTTCAACGATTCAAACTGGACTACGCTACGGCAGGCAGGAACCCCCTGCCTGTCTCTACATTTCTGGGAAAGCAGCCCCACAGCTGAAGCACAAGTTGTTCAGCGCTCTGGAAGACTGAACCAAGCTGAATGGCTCCGAAGCACTGGGGTGGGATGGGTGTGTGAAGGAGGTCCTGACACATTTTTGGGGCCATGACTGACAGAGCTAATACAACATCGGAGCAAGATTTCCTGGCCCACTGGACGACAGAAGCATCTGATAGAAGGAGAGGAACCACAACCCTCGTTCTGCTGGGCACAAACTGAACTCCCTCTGTGGAGTCCATCCCAGTCAAGATGTGCCCTGGAAACCCTTTTTCAGCACATCAAGAGGTCTCTGCACTCTCAGCATGTGGCACCTTATGCCCAAACTTTAGGTACAGATTCAGACATCAGCTTTAAACCTCACTTCAGGCAGGGCTCAGCTCCCTCCTGCAACCAGGAGAGGACGATCCCAGGTCCCCACCTGAAAGGGAGGGGGATGCAGAAATGCACACACAACCTCGAATGCTAGCAGCACACAGCATTGCACCAACCCGCAGCTTTTTGCAGACCAGCCTCCTGCAGGGAACATACTTCAGTGGAAGAGAAGACTAACACCAGGATGCCACAGAACTAGGAACGGCAGCTTGCTGAGGAACATGCAACAGAATCTGGAGGCTGCAGGGAAATCCACACGCTGCCTCTGGGAGACACTATCCTTGCCATGCCACAGGGGTTTAGCAGCAGCAGTGAGAATGCTGAGCTGCCTGCCCAACAGCACCCGCATAAAGGCCTCCCCACACCATAGTTGCTCAGACCTGCCTCTTCCCATCCTCCCCTTTCCCTTCCCAACCCCACTGCAATTCCTGTGGGAATTTGGCGGTCGAGTACACATGCCATGGTTGACTCAAGGCAGCATCAGCATTTCACAAGCACAAGGCAATGCTGCTGCCCTGCCTAGAAGGGCACATCCGAGCACAGGAGCACAGCTTGCTGTTGGGGGCCTTCCCTGCTGTATTTAAAGCTAGGCTGAGCCAGGAGGGTGGGCACAACTGGTATTCAGCCCCCGGCAGAGCCATCAGGGAAGGTCTGGGAGGTGCCGGAGCAGTGGAGGCTGCTCTGAGCATGGTCTCAGAGGCTCTTCAGGAAAGCTGGTACCAGCTCTGCTGCCCACAGCAGAAAGGAGCTGCAAGGCCGGTGGGGCTACCCCTCCAGAGGACATGGTCCTCAGCAGGAGGATGCTAAAAAGGCTGCTTATCTGCTTGTTGTTAGGCGTGTGGCCTTCCTCTTGCCCCCAGCCCCCACGGCATGGGGGGTGCTGGTTTAGCTCAGCACAGGGCTGGGCCCGCGTGCTGACCACATGCTGCTGTGCAGTTCTGAGGCTGCCTGAAGGTGAGGTGGGTGCTGTGTGGATCTGGCCTACCAGGGCTCCCACCTGTGGGATGTCCGCATGTCCAGCCACCAGCAGCAGAGGCTCAGACGCCTCCTCTCCCTGGGCTGCAATGTGCTTCCACTGACCAGGGCAGTCCAAGGAAACTTTCTGCCTCAGCAAACCTCCTGCACCTTCACAGTCCCCTACCAACAGCATCGTGAGGTGTCAGAAGAACCCTCACATCTCCAACCAACAGTCTGCAGAGGTGAACGAGGCTGGCTCCATGGCAGTGGAATTATCCCAGTGAGGCAGCATCTATCCCAGAACCAGCTCATACCACAACAGAGGAGTGATGTCCTCCTACCTGAAGCCAACTCTGCCTCCAGAAGGGAGATGGAGAGTCTCACTGCTCCAGGTAGCAATTTCTCACAGATGTCACAGCCCTGTCAATGAGCAGCCAGTCCTGCGGCTCCAAGGAGGAGGGCTGCCCCCTCTGTCACACACTGAAAGGCCTGGAACCACTGGATCTGGCCTGGCAAGTGCAAGGACTTCCTGGTGCTGAACAGCCTAAGCCTTCCAGGAGTGGCTAGTCCTTGTCCTCACGGTCATACTCTGGGAGATGCCCAGGGTGTGACAACAGCAAGGACAATGGAAGAAACCTAAGTAGAGAGGAGAAGACTCTGGGCACCCAGTGCCTCCCCAGAGCAATGTCTGGGACCCCAGGGCCAGCAGCTCAGACCAGCCCTTTGACGAAGCTTGTGTCCAAGTGCACTATCAGCATGCGGAGAAAGGACATTTCTTTGCGCGTGTTCTCAAAGATAACGCGAGGGTCATCAGACTGGCAGCGCAGGCAGTTGGGGGCCATCACCATGGCCAGGTTATTCACATCCATCTTCGTTCTGCCCACATTTGACGGCTGAGCAAAGATCTGCAGGTAATAAGAAGCCATTCAGCTGGAGCAGTGGAAAAGGGCAAGAGACTCAAAACACATGGCCTACGAAGAGGTGCAAGGACAGCAGAGACGTGGCGTCCCTGAAGGACAATGCCCCAACAGCCACACATTCACAGGGGAAGAGCACTACACTCTGACATCGCTGACAGCATGGGAGCCTCAGCAGACAGGGAACATCTTGCAGATCTCAACCTTTGGGACTGGCCCCATGCTCTGCAAGATCAGGAACATTGTTTATTGCTCCCATAAGGGACAAGGCCAGCAGAAGAAGGAGGGAGGCCTTAAAAACCCTGCTGATGGCCCACCACGGCTGTCCCGCTAACTGTGCTCCAGGCTCCTGGCCAGCAGCGGGGACACGGGGCTGAGGGGCTGCGTACCTGCAGGAAGTGTATGAGGTAACACAGCACCAGTCTGTTGAGCTCCGGCAAAAGCTGCACCACGGCCACAGCAGCGTCGGGGTTCTCGTAGTTACTGATACACTCTTTGTAGAACTGCTGGGGGATCACAGGCTCCTCCAGCTCCCGATACCACAGCTTGAGAAGAGAGGCTGGGCAGAAAGCAGCGTGCATGAGAAGAGCTCTGGTTACCTCCCCATCACCTTCAGAGGCAAACTTGGCAGCAAGACCGGAAGCCTCAAGAGGGCAGAGAAGGGATTCTGCCCTTGTGCTGTTTCACCTTATTTCAGTCTGTTCTGAAATTCCCAGGCAGCCAAACTGGCCAGTTAGAGGGAAATGCTGGCTGTTATCTACCTGCTCCTCCAGGAAGCAGCTCTGGGGCTGCCTGAACGAGAGAACAACGAGACCCTGGAGCCAGAGTGCTGCTCCAGAATGACTGCCAGCTGCTCTGCACGCTGCCCAGCTCACACAGCCTTGCTCTGTCAGAGCCAGCTGGAGACTAAGGTCCCCCCACCGCCCCCAGCGTTTTTCTATGGGCAGTGTTTGGAAAGGCAGCAGAAAGGCACAGAATGAAAACCTGGCTGGTTAAGACAGCCTGTGCACAGGACCCCAGGCAGCAGCACACCTCCTGGACTGTTCCCATACCTCCCCTGCCGTGCTCTACCGAGGTTGAGGCTGCAGCACACACACCTGCTGTGTTCCCATACCTGGGATGTTGGGATCACTGAGCCCGCTTGGGATTCTCCACTGATCCACCTGCAACTTCAATGCATTGACTTCATCTATGTCACCAGGTATCCTGCAAACAGAGACACAGCAATGGTGCTTTGGAGACCAGGCAGGGCAACGTGCCTGGTGTGGCAGCTGCCTGGGAAACTGTGGCTCCGAACCTGCTTCCAGGGCACCAGGAAGAAGGGAGCGTGCACCAGCAACACCTACAGAAGCAGTTCTTCAGACAGAACAGGTTGCCTCTTTTTAAACACAGCTTTAAAGTGGGAGTAGAAGAAACATTGTCTCCTCCCCACTACCTCAGAGAGAACCATCGTTCTGTCCTCAGGAGTGATTATTTTCTGTAACTGGGCCTCTCCGCAGCATGTTCAGTTCAAAGATAAGAAGCATCTCTGGCTAAATACACCAAGATGCCTGAAACCCTTACAAGGCAAAGTTGAATCTTTTTCTAGCTACCTTGAATCAAGTTTAGCTACTGAAAAACTAATGCAAATCTTAAATACAAACAACAAAAAAGCCCCCAAACCCATCCAGAATCCCCTGTGCTCGCCATACAGATTCTTTGTCTCTCTTTGCTCCTTATGCCTTGTGCATCACCACGGCTGATGTGCTGCACCTGATGAACTGCTCTGCCAGGAACCCAAGAGCTCATCCCTTCCC